GCCAGGGCACGCGTCCGCTCCCGGCCACCGCCCGGGCCCCTCTCCCCACTGGAGCCAAACCAGCCACAGAACCGAGACCCGGCCCGGCGGGGCCTAGCCCTGGCCTAGCCACCCCCCTCCCTCCTCCACGCCAACTTTGGTTTTAAGCCTTGCAGATAAATGGCTCACCGCCTGACCCGGGTTGCTTGGGAGTGACTGGACCAAGACGTGGGCCTAGAACCTGAAGGCTGTGAGACTCAGCCTTCTTGTCTACCTGTGAGCAGGAATCATTGTACAGACATAGGAGGAGATCATTATAAAGTCTCTAGCCAGGTGCCGGGGGCTCACACCGTCATCCCAGCTAGTCAGGAGGCTGAGATCTAGAGGGTTGCAGCTCAGGGCCTGGGCAAAAATGTCTACAAGATTGCATCTCCATAAGAACCAGTAAAGTGCTGGGCTTGGAAGTGGGACACAAGTGGAAGAGAGCTGGTTGTGAGCAAAAAAGTCTAGCAAGCAAAAGGCTCTGAGTTCAAACCCTAGTCACACACACAGAGTTTGCAGCTTGTACTGGGTCACTAAGAAATGGTAGCTCTTGTTATTAACACAATCCATCAGTCTTTCGCTGAGCACCCACTCCTTATTCTGCAAACGCCGGTCTGCTTGCTGTGTGACTGGGCCTTGTAGGCAGTGAGGTAGCAAGGACATGTGACATAGCTCAGACTCATCCCATGACACTAGGACACACAGCCCTTAAAATTACACACCTAAGCCCGGCGCCAGTGACTCACGCCTGTCATCCTAGCTACTCAGGAGGCTGAGATCTGAGGATCGCAGTTCAAAGCCAGCCCAGGCAAGAAAGTTTGTGAGACTCTTTATGTCCAATGAACCACCAGGAAATCCGAAGTGGTGCTGTGGCTCAAGTGGTAGAGTACTCACCTTGAGCTGAAGAGCTGAGGGACAGCACCCAGGCCCAGAGTTCAAGACCCATGACTGACAAAAAAAAAAGTTACATGCCTTTTGCCAGGCATCAGTGGTTCATACCCATAATAACAGCTACTCAGGAGGCTGAGATCTGAGCATCAAAATTTAGAGTCAGCCCAGGTAGGAACGTCTGTGAGACTCTTATCTCCAATTAAAACCACCAAAAAGTCAGAATTAGGGCTGTGGCTCAGGGGGTAGAGTGCCAGCCTTGAGCAAAAAGGCACTTAGGAACAGTGCCCAGGCCCAAAGTTCAAGCCCAAGACAGAAAAAAAAAAGAATGAACAGAAAATATAACAAATACCTATGGATTGCTACAGAGCTGAAATTGATGAACATTTTGTCTAAGGAAATAAAACATTTCACATAAGGATGATAGTCACATTTCCACCCTTTTCTCCTCCCATCCCCTTTCTCAAGCAGATTTTACACAGATTTTTTAAAAATCACTGCTTAGTACTCGTGTGCCCTAAGCAACGTATTGCACTGGCTTGCATATTTAAAAATTCATATAAAAGGGATCTTGGTGTTTCTGACGAAGCTTGTTTGGTCAGTCCATATTTATTTGAGAACAGTTCATATACCAATCAATCAAGGACATTTTTTTAATGTAGTCTTTGCTAACGTTTTAAAAATGGCCCTCCATCGGAGGATTTCTAGTGCTCCTTGCTAAAAGTGGACAGTTAGCAATCAAACTGAAAAGGGAGGGAACCTTTTGGGGGCCTTTGTTGATCTCAATAAAGAGAATCTCCTTGATTTTACAGATGTTAATGACCCTAAGGAAGTAGGTGTGGGTTCTTCCGACACAGAGTTCCAGAGCCAGAACCAGCCCAGTGGTGACAGCGGAGCCGACGCTCACCTTGCACGCTCACGAGATGACAGGGATGAGCGGGGACCCAGGTTGGTGGCATGCACATTCCCTGGGTGGAGGGCAGACCAGAAGGGATGGGGCTCCAGACGTTGGAAAGCTGAGTGGTGGGCTCGGTCTGTGGATCACGCACACCCCGTGCACTTCTATCATCACATCTGCAGGGGGCAGTGTCGGCATTGTTATTAGAACATAACCAGCAGTTTTTAAGAATGCTGAAAGTAGCAATGGCAGCTGAGGCTCTGACAATGTGCCAAAAAGGAGGGGGAGTGGGTGCAAAAGAGAAAGGGAGGAGGAATGAAAATAGATGCCCAACATATCAGAGGGTGTAGAGGTTTCAATGTAAGTGGACATAGTCCTGGACCCTAGTGGCTCACATCTCTAATCTTAGTTACTCAGGAGGCTGAGAGCTGAGGATAAAGGTTCAAAGCCAGCCCAGCAAAAAATTCTGTGAGACTCTTACCTCCAATTAACCAGAAAAAAAGGATAGAAGTGGATCTGGTGGCTCATCTGGTAGATAGCCAGAATGGAGCAGAAAAGGCCAAGTAAGAGGGCATGGCTGAGTTCAAGTCCCAGAACCTGCACAAAATACAAACATAAATTTAAAAAGCTTTGAAACTTATATTTCAGCTGGCAAGCAGAAATAAATGTTTGTTTTTTAATTGTCATTGTAAGCTGGGCGCTGGTGGCTCACGCCTGCAATCCTAGCTATTCAGGAGGCTGACACAGTTCAAAGCCAGCCCAGGCAGGAAAGTCCATGAGACTTATCTCCAATAAACCACTAGAAAACAGGGAATGGCGCTGTGGCTCAAAGCAGTAGGGTGCTCGCCTTGAGCTGAAGAGCTGAGGGACAGCGCCTAGACCCAGAGTTCAAGCCCTACAACCGACAAAATAAAATAATAAAAAAATGTCATTATAAAGGTGAGGTACAGAGGGGTTACAATTATAAGTCAGGAAAGATACATTCACCCACTTTGCTCCCTTCCTCCCTCCTTCCCTCCCATTTTTCCCCTCCCACCCATACCCACATGGTGAAGTAAATTTTTTTGTTGTTTGTTTTCCACCTGAACAGAATGACTAAGAATTTCCTGCAAAAACTCTGCAAACAGCACAAGCTCTACCTGACACCTGCACTGAATGACACTCTGTATCTGCACTTCAAAGGTGAGGGCATGGATTCAGAGGATTCATTATCTGCAGAGATCATCTTGTAGTTAAGTTAAACCGGCAGAGTAGAGTGGACATTCATGAAAAAACACTCTTTTAGCCAGGCCTGGTGATTCACACCTGTAATCCCAACTACTCAGGAGGCTAAGATTGAAGATCACAGTTCAAAGCCAGCCCAGAAAGGAAAGTCTGTGAGACTCTTATCTCCAATTAACCACCAAAAAGTTGAGAGGAGAGCTGTGGCTCAAGCAGTAGAGCACTAGCCTTGAGAGAAAAGGCTCAGGAACAATGCCCCAGGTCCTGAATTCAAGCCCCAGTACTAGCACATAGGAAAAAAAAAAGGAAATTTTTGCCTAATAGTCATAAAGGAGCTGCTGGCTGTCTAGACAAAAAGGAAGCATGCTGGATTACTTTTTTGTATTCTAAGAACATAGGATTTTTAAATTTTTATTTATTTTTTGTGAAAATACTGTACAGAGGGGTTACAATTACACAGGCAAGATAATGAGTACATTTCTTATCAAGCATTGCAGCCTCCTCCTTTGTTTCCCCTTCCCATCCCTTCCCATCTTCCCCTCCCCCCACCGTCCCCCCCACCAAAGTTGTAAAGTTGTGTTTCGACATAATGACCTGTACATCTCATTGTTGCAACGGGTCCTCCTTTATCCCTGTTTTAACAATTAGAACATAGGATTTTCAAAGCTTCCTAACACCTGGCCTTGCTGGGTAGGATTTCAACATCAGAATCCCTCTCATGGACAACAGCAACCATGCCTTGCCTCCCCCCCCCTTGTCTCCCC